ACAGTACACAATTTGTAGTCGTTATATTTTGTTCTTTGCTTTTTGTCTGATTTGTCGTATTTTGCGTTGTTTTTTTTTATTGTATTCTTTATTTTATATATTAATTATTTTTATTTTCTTTTGTTTGTCTGTGTTATCAATTTTCGTTTCTTTTTTGTTTCTATGTGTTGTGGCGTTGCAATAAATGTCTATTCTGTTCTATTCTATTCTAGGTAGGTAGAGGTAGACTAAATGCGTTACAGTCGACGATATCAAAGGACTGGCTGGAACAAAGTGGTTAGAAACTGTTCAACAGGATATATGGCATAAACTGAAGGAGGTTGCGAACGGCTAAAGAAGAAGAAGAAAGGGAGATCAGTCGACGTGAGACGAACACTTAAAGCATTCGTATCGTTTCATCCCTCTGGTTCACTCAGCCATTTTGTGTTGCTATCGCCTTGTCGTGTGGTAAACAAAAAGAAGTTTTATTGTACTTGATAGACATTACAAAGACATGCTCTATTTATGGAAGAAAGATCATAAAGACTTTACGAAGAAGAACGTTCAGACCGAGGGCTTTAAAGTTTTACTTGAAATTTCCAAAATTTTTCGACGAGAAACAGCAACAACAACAAATACAAGCTTCGACGTGCCATGATAGTAACACGTACAACGTTATCGTCGTTCGACAGCAGAATGACTTACGGCCTGGTTGGCAGAGTAATGTAATAAACGTCTTTCTAACTAGGGACCACAAAGTAGGGCCCTAGAAATAGTGCAGTGTAATACGCATTTATCTTCTAACCTTTGTCCAGATTATTAAATCTTACGATCTCAAAGAAACTAATAATGCTTAACATTTTGTTAGTATTTCTACGTCGAACTATACCTTTTATTTGCAATACTCAGGTTTCATTCGCCCTGGACACTACCACACTTGGTTCGAGGAGATAACAGGCATCAACTTCGACTGGGAACTTGACTCAAGTGACGGAGATACTGAAGAGGAAGGTAGTGGTTTCGAAGACTACGACAATGAAAACTTCTTGAAAATATTTTCGAAATAAAGAGTTTAAAATATTTTAATCCCGTCTATACTTATTTATTAATGGCGTTTGTACCTTTGGCAACAATAGACCACCTGAGGTCCAACATAAACTCACTCCTGGATACCGGAGCTAGTTTTTGTCATCTATCCATAACAATTTTTCAGTATTATGAACAATATTAACGGAACACTAATTATATGTCCCACATTGTGCAGACTAAACTATAGTTTTGAGAAATCTGAACAATTGCTGTGATCATATGGAACGAAGCTGCGAAGAGTAATGAGACCGTTAAGTCACGAGCAATAGATACGTAGTCATGGACGGTCTAGAGCATGAAGATTGCATAATATTTCACCCGCTCTGTGTTGGGATCGTCTGCAAACTTTGTAAAACAATAATCTCAGTACAGAGTACTAAAAAAACCGACCTCAAAAGTATGTGGAATTACGTCTATTTGCTAAGTTTCATTGAAATATCCCCTAGATCGCCACTATACAGGACTTGATACTGGAGATTAGAAAAATAGGTTCTCACTACTACACTACTCAAAGTATATCGAGAGAAAAACGCCTTGAATTGGAGAAATAGCAAAATCAACTAAATAATTGCTAAAAGTAATTGCTCCTAAATTAACGTTAGGCGCTATTTATAAAAATGAATCTTCATGCGTGAACAGCCACCCTTTGAGGTGGATGATTTTCTTCAAAATGAAATGGGACCACTATGGAAATACAAACAACAAAAAAAGAATCATGAAAATCGGTTCACAAATACCGGAGCTATCGCGTAACATACATACAAAAAAAAAAGAAAAAAAAAGAGCATACAGTCGAATTGAGAACCTCCTCCTTTTTTGAAGTCGGTTAAAAATGAGCTCGCCTTCTAAGGCGTCAACTTAGGTATATGTGATCCGACATTTGCAAAACATGTTTTAATCTTATCATTGATCAAGTCGATAAATCTAGATATCTTTTAATTGTGTGACGAGTAATTATCAAACTAAAATATGTTGACAACAATAATTTAATAATTCGTTTGTTTGTTTGTTTATTTCTACGTACCAATTGCACACCTTGATTAATGGAAAGTTAAGGAATACCTACTTATTAAATTTAAGTAAATTTTTCTTATGAAATCCAGTGACGGCACCAACTAGTCGTGCGCCTGATGACACGCATGTCCATAACAGTTGCAGTGCCACTCAGTTATTTAAATCGCAAAGGTCTGAGGGGCACTACAGTTGCGCCCATCACCCTGAGACATTAGTTGATAAGTCCCATATGCTTCTAATGTCACCAGCACCTTTACCCATCAAAACCGGAACACAGTAATGCTATATTACTGCTTGGCGGCAGAAATAGATAAGATGGCAGTACTTCCCTGGACGAACTCTTTCACAAGGAGCGCTACTGCTACCAAATGTAATGTTCCCAATTCTTTTTCATTATTAATTTGAACTTCGATTTAATTCCAAGTAATGTCTCAGGATAGACGGATTCGCGTGACTTTCATAGTTAACGTGAAGTCCAACTAAAGGTAGCGTACAATTACATTTTCATTAGTGCAGTACCCGTCTATGGCAATGGCACTTCTTGGTATCTTCATTATCACAGCCCTTGTGGCTTCTACGGTAATTAGTAATTTTACATAAATGACTTAGTATTTAATTGTGAAATTGTTTGCAGTGTAACTTTCTAAACACGGAGCCTATAGATCGCATCTACAGTTCATCCCATTTTGTTTCAGATCTCGGCCGAAGACGTGGCAACTTTTCCTGAAGTTATCCGAGGTATTTATCTGAATATTTGGAATACATGGTTGTGTCGTCAAGTGAACTTGGTTGCTCGTGCATAAATAGTTTTCTCACCGCACACTTCTCTAATCTTACCGCTCTCATAACTGAGAGCTACAACTAGATAACTAAGATCAACAAAAATAGTTTTTAACCACAAAATCGGAAAGAGTAATTTTCAAGTTACTTTTCTCTATATCTAATTTCAGTGTCAATTATTATTCTTTAATTATTTGAGTAAATCATCGTGAAATGTTAAATAATGTTTCCGGTTACTGCACTCGAATATTAAACAATACTTCATGATAATAGAAATTTATTGCATATTGAAAATTCTAAAATAAATATAATAATATGATATAGCATTTGTAAGGCATCTTGCCCAAACTTTTTCGTTGACGAAAATGACTGCCCGTCTTATGGTCAGCGGAGGCTTCTACGAGGTGATCCAACAGCTCGTTCGTTAGAAGATTCGCCTGTGTCCTCCAGAGACCCAGGGTTTCCACCGCAAAAGGCACAAATTTGTAGCACTGAGGAAGATTGGCGTATTTGGGCCTGTTGCGGTTCTCGGCCGCTTTGACGACATTGGAGGGGCTACAGTGTTCATATAGCTTCTATGGACTGACGTTATCATATTCTAATATATTTAAATAATTGACATTGCCATCTAAATTAGTTAGAGAAGTAGTAGTAGGAGGTAGAGGACAGCCCCATAGCTAGGGCTAAAGATATAGGTATCTTTCTACATTACTTTTGATTATAGTGATCCTCCCGACCCTTAAGGTATACAAGAAGGGGACTATAACTTGTGCGCGCACTGGAACCTTATAAGTTCGGATTCTGACCCAAGATCAGCAGGGTTGTCACAGACTTTTGTCATTTAACTTCATCCGATTCTCGAGAGGCTAGATCTCTCCCTATTTTCCAGAGATAGAGGAGTAGAGAGCTCCTTATGAAAGTGTTCGTCCAGGAAAGTACTGCCACCCTACCTATTTCTGCCGCCAAGCAATAATGTCAGCATTACTGTGTTCCGGTTTTGAATGGTAAGGGTGCTAGTGAAATTACCGGCACATGGGACTTGTCAACTTATGTCTAAGATATTTGCGATTTAAACCTCTGAGTAGCAATGTTATGGACACGCGTACAGCTTATCATCAGGCGACTTGTTCGTCCCGTCACTTGATTTAAAAAAAAAGAGAAAATTAACCTGAAAATTACTCCAAACAGCTTTATTGTAAAAAAAAACTAGATTTTACATTTTTCTGTGCTGTTACGTAATCGTGTTGCAGAGAGATCAGCGTCAAGGATCGTATCAGGATGGGAGGCGAAGGAAGGCCAATTCCCCTACCAGATGTTGCTGCGTATGGTAAATAACATAGGCACTGTGAACTCCTGTGGCGCTACTATCATTCACGCTGAATGGGGGCTTACCGCCGCTCATTGCACTGCTGGGTAAGTGCTATGGAAAACGTACATGTAGATCCATATGCAACAACCTTAATAATTACAGCTTTTATTAGCAGTAGGGCTCCTTGTGAAAGAGTTCTAGGGAAATACTGCCACTTTATCTATTTCTGCCGCCAAGCAGTAATGTCAGCATTACTGTGTTCCGGTTTTGAAGGGTAAGGGTGCTAGTGAAATTACAGGCACATGGGACTTGTCAATTTATGTCTCAGGGTGACGGGTGCAGTGGCAGTGCCCTTCCGATCTTTGCAAAAGCTCTGAGTGGCACTGCAACTGTTATGGACAGGCGTGTAGCTTACCATCAGGCGCACGACTTATTCGTTCCGTCACTTGATATTATATAAAAAAAGTTTTATTGAAATCGGTTACTGGAAAGTGCGCGAAATCTGATTTATCCCTAGTTTGCCACCCTTAGAGCTGGAATAATTTCTTCAAATTTAAATATGTTTAATATAGAATATGACTCTAACAAAAAATGATTATATAACAAAATTTCTCGAAGTCGGTTAAAAATGTAATAATAAGTTACACACTCATTGCCCTGCACTAGGAAAAACCCTGTATCGCGGATGCCACGGTTAAGCACACACACATAGATAAGCACAAATTACACCCAAAGTCACAAAAGCAATAAGTGTAGGCCACACATATTTCACACTTTTCTATTTCTCCTTTATTGGTAATGTATTTATTTTTTCGGACCTGAATCGCGTACATTTATTTTTACAAATTAACCATGTGCCCTTTACATCTGGCATGATCACGATTGACGGTAAGTCATCCATAATATCAATATTTATAAAACAAACCAAAGAAATCTTATTTGTTAAATTAAAAATAAAGTATTTTTAACTGACCTCAAACAAAAGGAGGAGGTTCTCAATTTGACTGCATTTTTTTTGGATGTATGTTACGCTTACACTTCCATCCTCTAAGATGTTACGCGATAACTCTACTAATTATATAACTAATTTGTGCCCTGATTTTTATGATTATTTTTTGTTTGAAAGAGAGTCCCTCCGTAGTGGTCCCATTTAATTTTGAAGAGAACACATTTTTATACGTAGCGCCTATATTATATTACAAGCAGCAATTATTATTTTAATGGTTGATTTTGCTATTCTCCAATTCAAGGCGTTTTTCTCTCAGTATAACCGCTCACGAGATGCGCTCCTCCTACCGCAAAATGGCGGCTATTTGGTTTCGCAAATTAGAAAAGCATTCAGTTTAAATATAAGTTTTTAAAAATAAAAATTATTATTCTGCATTGCTAAATAAATACTTTCGTACTACCAACAAAAACATCTCAAATAAAACGCAGTAATACACCGCAAATCCTGCACTTAAAAAGCCCTAATTAAATTTTTGGTGTACTTGGATAAATATGATAATATTCCGTTTGAGTGGTTTTAACGTTTAGCATGAAATTACTCCTTAAAGTATAGTTTATAAACATTAATATTCAGGGTAAACTTAAAAAACGCTACTTACGGTATGTTTTCAACAAATAAACACCGAAATCACCAGCCCAAACAATAACACACATGATTGTCGTGACGTATTTTTGAAGTTGTTTATTTTTTTTAAATGACAGACCCAGGCATTAAAATCTTTATGGTTTGCTAGAGTAGTTACCGAAATAGCAATTAATATTAGTCCTTTTACCTGTTATAACTTCGTTATCCGATAAATCGGTATAAAATCATCACCGGCACCTCTAGGTGTGGTATGCGTCTACGGCTGCATGTATCGCGTGAGCGGATATGTACTTTAGAACCGATTTCTATTATCTCCTGTGTTAAGTCCCGTACATGGTCCTAGACTGAAGCAGGATTTTGTTTACCTTGATTTAAGGACATATAAGCTTCAAATCAAGAAAATAAGTGAACTTAACTGCTAGTCGTCCAGGTCGTGGATGTACGCTGGTGAAGGTGTACATAGCCCTCATTATATGTTTCAGGACAAAGGCTATCCACATTGAACAGGTTGAGCACCGATTTTTATTATCTCCTGTGTCCGTATAGTTGCGAACTAGGGGATGAATCCGGGTTTACGCACTTTCCGGTAACCAATTTCAATAAGACTTGGTAATTATGTGTAATTCCACGTACTTTGGAGGTCGGTTTTTTAGTACTCTAAACTGAGATTATTTAATAACTTATGTAACTATAGTTCAGAAACATCCAAAACAGACATAACTGGTTGACAACTTAACTGTCTCAGTCAGCCTTGGCCATGGTAATTGTAAAGAGCCTGAAGTAAACGTTGGTTTGTTATAATTATTAATACAAAGATCGTACACTTAGAAAAAATCGGTCGGATTCGAATCGGCGTCTTCCAGCAATCCGTGCCAGACGCTATGCCAATTAAGTCACGGAACGAACCAGCGGACCTCACGAATTTTTCTATGTGCTTGTTGTTGAAGCTTTGTATTTGGTTTTGAATGACTTTTTAGGAGGAAGGATTTTTTTCTATTAATAATTATATCAAACTAGTGGAGTAATTTCACAAAAAATAATTGAATATCAATTCAATAAAAATTTTAACGTTGGTTTGTTTGAAAAAACTTAACCACTCATCCGTAGATCAAAGACCTATGTGCAAGACTACCTATTCCCAGGAAATTGTACGTCTCGTTCGTTGTTCTTCGCTGTGGATAACAGATCGACCGTTGTTCGATGTTATATTTGGAAAACGAAATAAGATTTAAATATTCTGGAAGCACCTATAGACTTTCCTTAAACGAGATTATTTATCCTCTTTTAGCTGTATAAAATCACATCTGACTCTGTTCTTCGAAATATACACGAGTTAGACCAGAAAAAATAGTTTGATCACCCAAAGTACATGTATCTGTATTCTGGTTTCACAGCTACAGTCCGTACGGACTATCCACATGCGAGCCATCCGCATACGTATGCATCGAGTATTTAATTTAGTGCGGATATATATACATATATATATATATATATATATATGTATATATATTTAATATATAATAGACACACGCTTGGCCACAATCTCACCTGATGTTAAGCGACGATGTTCTAATGCCACACGTGTGGTCCGCAGATAAATCCGCACCAATCTAAAGTTCTATGATGCATTTTACTGTAACCTCTTGACATTTAAAAAAAATAATCTAAAGCCACACAAAAACCCGTATTCAACAGGAGACACACGTTCCTTCTTCGCGCTGGAGGGATAAATGTGACCCGCCCCGAGATTATGTTCGAGACAAGGGAGTTCTACAACCACCCTCTCTACAATAACAATTTACCCGGCGTTGTACAGCCTAACGATGTCGGTCTACTCAAGTTTGGAAGAGTCCTTACTTTCAGTGGTAAGTATGTCAAATACATTAAAGTGCTTTTATGACGTGTAAATTTAACTAAACCTTAATTTTGACTTCTTATCGTGTCGATGGCATACACTGCAATGGTTGCCATCGTGGTAAAAGGATCTACCAATCGGCGTAAGGTACTAGCCGACTGTTGCTCAGGGTGCGCCAGGAAAAGAATGGTACTAAAAAGTAGCAGTATGAGGTCCTTGTGAAAGAGTTCGTCCAGGGTAATACTGCCACCTTACCTATTCCTGCCGCCAAGCAGTAATGTCAGTATTTTTGGTGTACAATCATTGACTTATAAATAAATGGACGACGGGTCTAATACAAAAACCACGAAAAAAATGTCCCAAGTCAACCTATTTAAACGTAGTGACATGTAAAGGAATATGAAAAAGCTTTTAAATTGTAATGTCATCGCAGTACTGTCTAATTTTGCTTGCTTCGCTGTCAGTCGAACAAACGAAGACTAAAGCGTGAATGACACTCTGTATACGATTTTAACGCCCTATAAGTTCGGACACTTTTTAGCGCGGACCCGACGTCCATATAATTGTAAGTCAATGTGTACAATTAAGTACGACTTTATGTCAAACGTAGACCAAAGACAAGCTAGCTTCCGTCGCGCGCCCGTGATGCTCATTCAAGTTAAAACGTAAAAGCTAAGTCAATAGAGCGTACTTTGCCATGACAGTTAGATGCAAGCGGTCTCTGCACGGCGGCGACACGGTCTCCGCGTGGCGACCGGGCGGCTTGGGCGCGATGAATTTCGTGTCGAATAAATGGGCCCTAAGGGTGGTTAGAGATAATATTAGACATAACTGGTTGATTACTTTAATATCCCAGTCAGCTGTGACCATAGGTCCTGTAAATGGCCCTGATTTAGAACAGAAAAAAAATATTTTTTTCATTTTAAAATTGGCATTATTGTCAAATAAGATCCGCATTCGGATAAAATAGTTTACAATCGAAAATATTTAGATAAGGTATCAAATACCTGTTTCTACGAGCAGGTACCGACGTAAAAGTCGTCTCTATATCTAGAGCTTTGATTTAGATATGTTTACATTATCACGATTTCATTAATGAAATGATTAAATTGAGTCATTTCATGTGAGCGTTAAAGCCTAACTGATTCTGAATTATGATGAACGGATTCAGTGATTTTCTACTTCTATATTTAAATCTGTTAACCATATTTCATAAACCATAATTCGACTCATCCGTAGAACAAAGATCTATGTGCAAGACCACTTGTTCTCAGGACATAATACGTTTCGGTCGTTCTTCTTCGCTGTGGATGTCAGATCGAGTGTTGTTCGATATTATATTTCCGAAACGAAATAAGATATATAAATTCTCAAAACACCTTTACATAGGTCTTAATTTGAATAACGAAATTATTCTCGTAACGTACTTATTCTTTTTTCGCTATATAATCACATCGGACTCTGTTCTTCGTATGTGTCGATATCACACACATCAATTCACTGTTTTAAATTCGCTCTTTAAAAAAAATCTACAGAATATTTTGACGCGTGTCAGATACAAATATCAAAAGTTCACAAATTACCCTTAATCTCCTTTAAATTACCTGCCTATAAAATAGTTTCCCCGTCATGAATACTTCATGTTTATAGTTATATATAAACCACACATACACTCCACTCACGTATTACACACACAAACACACAATTCTAAGCAAAACACACTTTCATCTACAATTATTACACAACTAAACAACTCCTTACTCATATATTATACATCTTTCACCTTTTTGCTTTTTTTCCCAATTACTTTGTCCACGTTTTATAGCTTATATAATAACTTGCGAAACAAAAAGGCGTCACTACTCTCGAGGCTGCGTTCTAGTCCTAACAGCATTCTGAAAATGTTTGCGGCTAAGCTCGATGCGCCGATGCTTCAACATTTTATCCAGGTTCTGGTGTGATCATGAGGTTATCGGCGCCTCGAGCGGTAAGTTGCATATACGTGTTCTTGTGTTTGTCAATGTATTGTCCCGTAAATTGTGCCTACTAACAATAGCTTTTAGTTCAAATATTCTGTATCTTTTTGTATTACTAACAAGTGGGCCATAGATGTCCAAATAAATGATTTTCTATTATTATTATTATTCACCTATACAGTTTTTATTATAACTACATACCTTACATTCTAACTCCGTGTTGATTCTCTATTCCGAGTTACTTCTTTTCTTACCGGCTCACTTTAGGACCTGACATCAACGTCATAATTCGACTGAACTGATGCTGATTCAGGCCCTTTTTGCTGACTCAGTATACACAACTCTTCACCTGACACAACATCTGTCAAATAGACATTTTCTTTAAGATTACCATTGTACTTACGTCCTAAGCTTGTTTGTCATGCACCTACTGTGATTCAGCAAATAAATAAGTTATCTATGTGTATATCCATCTATCAAAGGCGCTCTTTTAAAACCAGGCGCGCAACTGACCATGAACACTAAACATTAAAAGACACTTCTGTTCTGGACAGAGTGCATAATATTAAGTATTTGGGACATGTCGTTAGGCCTGATCTCAAAGATGATATGATATGGAAAGGGAGCGGAGTGCTTTATCAGTAAGAGCGAATATGCTGGTTCACAGGTTTGCTCGATGCTCTGCTGAAGTTAAGGTAACTCTTTTCAAAGCCTATTGTACATCTTCTTACGCGGGCAGCCTATGGAATAGGCACACGCAAAAGTCGTACATTGCTCTCCGCACCCAATACAACAATGCTTTTAGGATGCTGTTGCGTCTGCCGAAGTTCTGTAGCGCTTCTTCCATGTTTGCTGAGGCGCGGACGGATTCTTTCGCAGCAATCATAAGAAAGAAATCTGCTGAACAGACTTCGCAACAGTAGCAACAGCATCCTCAAAATGATTGCTGATAGAGTGGAGGGGCCTCTAATGAGGCACCTCATAAATTGTACTAGATCTAAGTTAGAAATAATTTACTAACATAGTTTATAAGTCTGTTACTAATACAAAGTGGGCCTTGTTGTCTTTAATAAACGATATTATTATTAAAAAAAGAACATGTTCGATTAAATTTTTCTCATTCATTGGCAGACCGTGTTCAACCCGTTCGTCTTCAGGCATCGAGGGACATGAACCGCAACTACGACGGCGTCAGACTGTTGGCTACGGGATGGGGACGTGTATGGACTGATGGTAATCTTTCAAGATCCGAATTTCAACATCCAAAATGCGTTAATTGAAGATCGAACATAAAGAAAAATTCCTCTATATGCCAAACTAAAACACACGCGACGTCAGCAGACCTTGAATTCCTCTAAAGGCGACTTCCCACGGCCCGTGGCCCTTTTCGGGCCAACGCAACACGCCATGGGAAGAGGGCCACCCGAGCGCGCCCTCGCTCGCCCGTGACGGCCTGTTCGGATTCGCTTCAGGGTGTCTACTCTCTTTCTCCGTCTAACGTCCGCCCGAAACAATTATTGTCAAATAATCTCAGTACAGAGTACTAAAGTACTAAAAAACCGACCTCAAAAGTACGTGGAATTACGTCTATTTGCTAAGTTTTTTTCGCCACTATACAGGACTTGACACTCGAGATAATAAAAATCGGTTCTCACTACTCAAAGTATATTGAGAGAAAACGCCTTGAATTGGAGAAATAGCAAAATCAACCTTTAAAGTAATTGCTCCTAAATTAAAGTTAGGCGCTATTTATAAATCGACTATGTCAAAAGACAATTTTTAGTATGAAGCTTCATTCACATCATGCATCTTTTAATTTAGACGAGTATTACTTATTTGACGGTAAATGTTTTGGACGGAGAATGGTAGTAGGCTCCTGATTGGTAACTTCAAAGGCGTGGGCTACAGACCCGAATACACGCCCCGCCACGCGCGTTTGGCCCGAGGCCGCCGGACCGAGCTCGCCCGTACAAATCGGTGCGTTTGCATCACGGGCCATAGGAACGCACCCCATGTTAATAAAAATGGAGTTAAATTAATTTGCTACTCCGCGAACCCAGTGACGGTTAAATCGTGTAAATTAGCTGCGCTTGTGTTGAATATTTTTTCATGCTGTTAATTATCCCACCCTCCCTCCGCATAAAATTAATAAAATAAATAACACAAGCGCAACTACAATCACAAACCACCACTAAAAATATAACCGCACCCGAACGCATGTCCAGCGGGGGAAACTGCGCCAGGACAGTCGCCGCATCAAAGGATACGGTGCGCTATCCTCGTGCGATCTTAATAGCCATGCGGCGCTGCACGCCATCGAGCATGGCTCTACAGCGCTGGACGCCCATCAGTCGGTGTTACCAGATCGCACCACCCCACCATATAAGCGGCTACGTCTGCGCTTAAGTGACATCTGTGAGAGGTCATGAAGCTTCTGACTCAGCCGGTACCTTTGCAGCTACCAGAGACTGACGTTAGATATCGCTGTATTAATTATAACATTTATTTTTGTTGAGTCTCATGTTTTACTACCAGGAAATTTTGTTATTATCAATTATATTGACTGGTCGAGCGGTGGCTCTAGTTTGGCATACTGACTTTACTGACGCAGGTTCGAATTTTGTCAGATCGAAGGAATTTTTCTTTATATTCGATCTTTGTATTAATAACAAACTAGTGAAGTAAGTTTGCTCAATAAAAATCAATATTATGTAGAAATTATTCTCGTTTCTTATAAGCGGGAACCCCGGAAATCATGAATTGGGTGTACCTGAGAGGAACAACGAACGAGTTCTGCAGACAGCAATACGGGGGGAGCTCCATCATTGCGGATTCTACCATCTGCGGTCGCTACTACAATGTCACCAGTCAGTCAGTCTGCCACGTACGTTTTCTATTATTAATTTGATGGCTGTGAGTTGTATGTAGTACCAGTATAGCTCTTTGTGAAAGACTTCTGTCACCTACACATTTCTGCAGCCAAGCTGTAGTGTGATCTTTATTGCGTTCCGGTTTTGAAGGGTAGGTACGGGCGCTGGTGAAATTACAGGCACATGGGACTTGTCAACTTATGTCTTAGAGTGTCGGGCACAGTGGCCCCTCAGATCTGTGCGTTTTAAAGCTCTGAGTGGTACTGCAAGTGATAGGTCACGAATTGTTGGTCCCGTCAATTAGAGGAAAAAATTACAAGAGCTCGAGTTTTATAATGGCAAAAGTAAAAAAAAACACCAAAGTAATATTGTATTGACTTTTCCCAATAAATACCACAGGAAATACAGATATATCATTAATATCAATAATAACTCCTATAAAAGGGCTTGTAGGGCAACTTCAGGCGCTGCGTAGACGGAGCAACTTTTTTTGAACAACTGTTTATGACGTTTTTCATATAATTTCAAGAAACCGCGCAGACATAGCAACTTCTATTGAGAGTTTCTTAAATAAATTCTTAATTGCCGCAACTAGAAACTTGCAAATTTGTACCGGTTGTCTCCAGTTGCTACTTTCCGCAACCGGCAACCACAACTCGTGAAGCAACTTCACTCCCTCCCCGTCCCCCGCAGCGTCAATCTTGACCGTGAATTTCTAACTTCTAACTAGACCTTATAATTGCTACAACCGGCTACCGTTAATGGAAACTTGTAAAAAGTTGCCAGTTGCGTCAACTAAAGTTGCTCCATCTGCGGACCGTCGGAACGAAGAAGAACGAAATTAGTAGATAACTTTTCTAGATAAAGTGAATAGGTATTATATAGGCGTGCAATCGTCACTTTCCACCGGGTGAGATGGAGGTGACATGCGCATTTATTTTACAGATTAAAAATGCCTAAATAGGAGAGTCACAAAATTTCACGTATATACATAACATTTTCTTATAGTTCGTATTATTTTTAAAATTTTCATGTGATAAAAGCACGATTGACTTATTTATTTATTCAGAAAATATGTAACAATATGCACCATAGCGTTACAGCAATTCAACAAACAACATGAATGAAAATAAGAACAAAAGATACTAATCTAAATTAAAATAAACTACTAACTAATATCCATTTTGATCACATGATCACATGTGACTTTTAAAACCAAAGGTACTATTTATTTAATTTTATTTTGAACACATTCATAGCCACGCACTGGGGAAACTCTGTATCGCGGGTGCCAACTACCACAAATTTAACCTAAACTCACTCGAAATCGATCGAAATTGAACCCGGATCCTCTGCGTGGTATTCCACCAAGGTAACCGTTCGGCCAGGCAGTAGAATTATTATTGTACATGTTTCTCAGGGCGACAGCGGTGGTGGACTAACCGTTGTTGATGATGATGGAGAGATTTCCCAAGTCGGTATCTCATCATTCGTGAGCAGCCAAGGATGCCACGTCATTATCCCTGCTGGTAAGATAAATACCTCAGTAGGGGTAGCATGACAGAACGCGACTTGCGTAAGAGCGACATTGAAGCGCGAGATATTTTCTCTATGCGAAAACAGCAGTATGTCGGGCTTAATGTCTTATGTGGAGTTACACCATATCTAGTAGTAGAAGTAATCATAGAGAGTGCACGAAAGGAACCTTTCCTACACGACGTTCCATTATTTTCATTTAGGTAAGAGAATCATAGACAACAATTCTAAAATAATCTTCGTTTTCGTTGCACTCTTGACAGAGCAGTCGTGGTCATCACAAAGTGTGTTAAGGGCTGATGTAGCTCGCTTCATGATATCTCCCTATCTTTTTCTATTAGTGGACTCCGTGAACTCCCTCGTGCATCATGCAAAGGACCGCCCACTGCAGACTTTATTTGGTCGGTCTTTCGCATGGGTAACTTTCCTCATAGTCCAGTGCCCTCTATCCTGCCGACAATCCGACAATAAGATGCTCTATGGTGTCAAAATTCCATTTTGAGACACACCGTGACACACCTTTAGGATGCGAGTTTGTACCACAGTAATAAGACGCAGCTTGATGCTAAGTTCTTGAAGTATCGAGACGTTTGCACAAAACTCGATCCACGATACCCTAAGCATTGCTCTCCAGCACCACATTTCCAACTGAACTTGCACTTGAACTTAAGTGGCAGTCGGCGGACATTGCTTGCAAAACTGATGACCGATGGGGTCAAAGTGTTCTCCAGTGGCAATCGCATACCGGAAGACGCAGCGGCAGACCACTCACAAGGTAGACCGACGATCAGGTGAAGGTATTGGGAATCCGCCAGACGCGAACTGCACGTCCTTTGGGGAGGCGTTCAGCAGTGAACGTCTTTGGACTTAAGTAATGATAACAGAAAAAATCAACATCATTACATCAGCCGGAAGACGTCAATTGCTGAACATAGGCCTCCTGCAAAGATTTCCAGACTAGTCGATCGGACTCGACATGCATCCATCGGATACCCGCCGCCCTTACCAGTTGTGGTGGGCCACAACCTTTTAAAACAATATTACTTTAACCTTAAACGACTTTTCGTACCATAACGCGCTTAAGGTAAGCTTATTGTAATGTTAAAACTATGATGTTTTATTGGCAGCTTTGTGACTATTCATTTACTGAGTTCGTACTATGACGCGACTTTATAATTACAGTAATATTGCTCTTATGTCAAATTTAACAATCTTAAAATAGTTACCGGATGCAATGGAAACAATGTTATTTTCAGTTTTAACGTCTTAATGTTGATTTGTAATGATTAAAAGTTAAATTTAACTTGTTTATTTACATATATCTCTTCAATATTTTGTATATTTTTTATTTAATAGCACATAGGAAATCATTTCTCGTTAAATAAAAATTCGCGATGTTTATTTCGTAAAATTATAACAGCGCCATCTATATGCTCCTTGGCGAAGCTAACAATTGACACTAGACTATAATTCCGAATTCACAAAGTGACTATCAAGACTCAGCTTGTTTTATTTATTTTTAGGAAATGAAACTATTTTTCCGGATTTAAATCGCGTATATTTGTTTTTTCAAACAAACCGACGTTTCCTGCCCTTTACAGGTCCCATGATCACGGTTGACTATGGTTGAGTCAACCGTGACCATGGGACCTGTAAAGGGCCTGAAACGTCGGTTTGTTTGAAAAAAACATATATACGCGATTTAAATCTTTATGAAATGCAGAAAAATTATTGAAAACAACGTAATTTTAATAGATTTTACTATTATTTTCTTTTTTTAACAGTCAAATTCTCTGAATGTAAATAGCATTAAGTACCTACTTAAACATTCTACTACAAAGACGATTCGGAACATCAAAAAAAAAGAGATGGCATTGTATAGTTCACATAGCGTTATCTCTTTCCTATTTTTAATAAGGAATAGACAATATTGGGAAATCATTCGTTCTTTCAATCACTTTTGCAATAATACATTATTTGGTTGACAGGTTCGTCTTGGTACGAATATTAGTAATATTTATAATAAGCTTACTTTAAGCTTACATTGAAATAAGATTGTTTTTGGAAAGGTTATGGTAGGCCCCCAGGTCCCACTGAACGCCTTCTAGATTATTGCTACATTCTATTTGTTAACTTTTCTAAATTTGATTTATACAGGTTTTGCTCGACCTGGACACTACCACTCTTGGTACACAGAGGTAACAGGCATCAACTTTGACTGGGAACTTGAGGACGGAAGTGGTTCCGAAGAAAATGGAATTGGTTCCGATGAGGTTGATAGTGCACAGGATGAGGATGAAAACAGTGCACTCGAAGATAAGAGCAGTAGCGAAGAAGAAGAAAACTTTTTTAAGCTCCTTGTCCACGGCTTGTGGTAAAATTCTTCATGAACATTAGAAATTAAAAAAATATCAATGTGTAGTGTTATTTATTTCACGGCCTCAGCTAGATAAAACTTGTTGGTTTACGTTATCGATTTTTGCGTGATGTAATTTATTATCTTTTAATTCAGAAATTGCGATTGTAAAACGTGTTATTATCATGTACTTACAAATAAATGGACGACGGGTCTAATACAAAAACCACGAAAAAAATGTCCCAAGTCAACCTATTTAAACATAGTGACATGTAAAGGAATATGAAAAAGCTAAAACGTTGAATTTAAATTGTAGTGTCAACGCAGTACAGTCTAATTTTGCTTGCTTCGCTGTCAGTCGAACAAACGAAGACTAAAGCGTGAATGACGCTCTGTATACGATTTTAACGCCCTATAAGTTCGGACACTTTTTAGCGCGGACCCGACGTCCATATAATTGTAAGTCAATGGGATACTTTCTTTCATTACCGTAAGCTACACCCGCGTGACAACCTAGTCTCGAAAAGGTCATATAATTGTAAGTCAATGGTTATTATTGATAATATGACTTACATGCACGAGGTAGTCACACGGTTATGATATATTTTGTTACAATTAGGCACAAAGAACAATAAATACAGTAAAAGCGTTAAGTGGAAGTGGCACTTGTGCCAACAGTATGCGAAGTTCCACATGCTTGATCTCAATCCGCCATTTTTGCTTTGTATGGTCGTGTCAATTGTCATAAGTCATAATTAATATAAGTATTTTGATACTTTGGAGTGCAAACATGATACTCGCACATGTAACATTATCAACATGTATTATTATGTAACATTATCAATGGTGGTGTTTTATTATATCATCGTCAAGTCTTGTTTTAAAATAATAATCTCAGTACAGAGTACTAAAAAAACCGACCTCAAAAGTAGGTGGAATTACATCAATTTGCCAAGTTTTATTGAACTCGGTTACCGGAAAGTGCGCAAACCCGGATTCATCCCCTAGTTCGCCACTATACCGGACTTGACACAGGAGATAATAAAAATCGGTTCTCACTACTGAAAGTATTTTGAGACAGAAAAACGCCTTGAATTGGAGAATAGCAAAATCTAATATAAAGAATAGCAAAATAATTGCTCCTTATAATACAATTTAGGCGCTATTTATAAAAATGTATCTTTATGTGTGAACTGCCACCCTTAGAGGTGGATGGTTTTCTTCAAAATTAAATGGGACCACTATGGAGGTACCCTCTTTCTAGCAAAAAAGAATCGAGTTATCGCGTAACATACATAAAAAAAAAGAAGAAGTCGATTAAATTTTTATTGAATTGATATTCAATTATTTTTTGTGAAATTACTCCACTAGTTTGTTATAATTATTAATACAAAGATCGAACACTCAGAAAAAATTCCTTCGATCAGAGGGCCTAGCCAACGTGTCTTTTTGTTAGCGATATCGCCAATGGAATAGAAAGACAATGTATGGGATTGACATAAGCGTACGAAATGTCACGTGATTTAGCGTAACGAACGATAAATTGGTAGCCAATGTTAATCACTTTCTATTCCATCAAACGAAACGTCCAACGCGTTCGACAACTCCCATATAAACCGTAGCCAAAGTGACAATTTTGACAATCGCTTACGCTCGCTATCTATTCCATCGATCGATAACGAAGCGATCGCCAACACCTTGTAGAAAACGAAACAAAATGGCGATTTTATAATCAGCTGGTGAAGTTTTGTGTTGTGTTTGTGCAAATTTTTATAAATAACTTTGAAATGCATTCGCTTCGACTCTTGTGGGCTGCTCATAATGAAGAAGTGTGGCTCAGGCGTCAAAAAAGAAACGTTTCTCGGCGGTCCTTGGAGCAAATCGGCGAAATGCCGGTTTTATGTTTCGGGAACCATTTAGATTGGATAAACAAGCACTTGTCTCCACCTACGGGCCCATACCTGTTTGAGAGGAACCGTAGCATTTCTACTGGAAGTTAAGGTAAAGAAATTATGCCTACCGCTGTAATATGAAGTGTAATATTAATGGGCACCAACCACCAGAGGTTATGATAACAAAAATATTGTTTTTTAGGTTTTTTGTGCCTTGAGTTTCTTGGCGACAGGCTCTTACCAGTGGATCGTGTGTGTCTCGCAACATTTGCTGCAGCGAACAACTAGTCGTTGCATTACGCAAGTTGTGGAAGCCCTCAATCATCCAAATGTAATAAGTAAATGGGTGTTCCCACAAACGCAACAAGTTAAGCCCAGAGGTAAGTGACATTTCAGTAAAATAACACATAAATGATAACGTATTTGTACCATTTCACTTTTATCAATTTTATTAATGAATGTGCAGGTTCCAAATAAGATTTCATTTATCTGGTGTTATAGGGTGCATTGACTGCACCCATGTAACCATTGTGAAGTCCATGGTAGATGAGCATCTTTTTTATAAAAGTATACCACTCATTAAATGTACAAATGGTAACTTTTAGTCTATTACACATTTCATTAGTTGACAAGATAATTTTAGTATTAAAATTGAAATTGTTTGTCCTGTGATTTTTGCAGTTAGTTGAAGGGTTAATATAAATCTGAAATTGTACAAGGTACATGCTGAAGTTAATTACATAGTTACTTTGTTTAATTCGTAAAATTTGAATAGCATAGGTATTTATCTCTGTATCAACCAACAATTTTGTCTATTTTACAGATTTGTGATCATAACTTAAAAATTTTAAATGTCGATGCTAAGTATGGTGGAGCCACACATGACTCTTATATGGTCATCCAGCCAAGTGGAACCATATATGCATGGGCTTCATCAAAATGGTGAACAAACAGGCTATTAGGTAAGGAACAAAATTGAACATATACACTGCCGGCCAAAAATTTGAGACCACCTACATCAAAGAAGGAAAATGAAATAAAACTCAAAGTATAAAGCAAGAGGTTTGATTATTGATTAAAATACTCATCTACTAATACACATACATCAAGAAGAAAACAAAACAAATCAAGAAATATCAACCATTTATGTTAAAAATGCCGTTCGTGTTTTAAACAGATTTTTCGTCAAAAAACCCTCCCTTGCATTTAATTACATTTCTCACTAGTCTCGGCATACGAGCAATCAATTTGTCAATTGTGTCTTGTGAAATATTGTTCCAGCTTTCTTGTAAAGCCTTCCACATGTCTTCTTGCGAGGAGGGACACCTAATACGCACATTTCTATCAAGCTCTTCCCACAAAAGCTCAATTGGGTTAAGATCCGGGCTCTGAGGGGGGCCACACCATATTTTTTAACACCCCTTCTGTTTCTTTATGTTCTAAATAACCCCTGCATAATTTTGAACTATTTGACTGTTGGCACCACACAGTCTGGCATCATCTTTTCCTCGGCGCTACGTCGAACAAAAATTCGTCGTTTTGATCGAAATATTTCAAATTTGGATTCATCTGTCCAAAGAACTTTTTTAAAGTCTTCTTCGGTCCAGTCTCGATGGGTATGAGCCCACTGCATCCGTTTCCTTTTGTTTTGTGGCCTTAGTAGTGGTTTTCGAACGGCGACGCGACCAAATAAGTTAGCATCTCTCAATCGTCTTTTTACTGTGGTCAATGACACAGGTGACACACTGCGCGGATTTCTGGTGCTGTTAGGCGTCTATTCCGCTTGCTGGTAACGACGATGAACTTATCCTCGCTAGAAGTCGTAGCTCTCGGCCTTCCCGATCGCGGACGATCTTGATTACTGCCAGTCTTCTTGTATCGCGCTATTGTGTTATGAACACAAGTTTTCGACAATTTCAGTTGAGTGGCAATCTCACGTTCTGATTTGCCTTCGTTGTGTAAAACAACTATAACAGAACGAGTTTCACTGCTAATTTCGCGCACTTTTCCCATTTTAAGATGTCTTCACTGTAACAACGACGAGCTTGGACTAACCAAGACAATGAAAGTTTAACTCCATGAAAACTCAGGTAATAAATATGTTTTATGAAGCAAAATAGTTCTAAATATCGGATAACACGAAACAAAACCAAAATAATTAGTAATGAGCAGCTCATAAAAATATTACAATGACTCTACCATCTGGGCATTTCGCGGCATTCATTGATGTTTGGAAACAATAGCCCTTTATAGGATAATAACTTAAAAATTTACTAAAAGATTGACTTTTAGAATTATTCTAATAACAATAGAATATGCAGGTGTTCAATTTTTTTTAGTATATCTCAAGCAGTTTTGAAATATTTTATTAGTGACAAAGATTCGTACTAGTGGTCTCAAACTTTTGGCCGGCAGTGTACATAACTACTTTTTGCATAATCTATACGTTTTTGTTGTTAGTCTAAACATTTAGACCTATAACAAAAACAACTTTTAAGTTTTACAAACAAATTGTCAATTGCCTGCCTCCTGTGATTAATTGTTAATTTAAACAATCCTAATTGTTTTAGGTGATTCTGGATACCCAGAAAGAGCCTGGCTAATGATGCCTATCTTAAATGCTGCATCAGGGTCACCAGAAGAGAATTACACCAGGCGTCATATCCAGGCCACGAATTAAATTGAACGATGTTTTGGCTTGCTGAAGACACATTGAAGATGTCTACTTAAGCACTGAACACTTCATTAACATCTCCAAGTCACCAGTAAAATAGTAATTGCATGTGGTGCGCTGCATAACATTGCATTGAATGCCAAATTACCCCCACCAGGTGATATGGCTGCACAACATGATGATGAGGATCTACCAGTAGCAGCCAAGATGAGCTAAAGCATGGCAGAGCCATGCCCAATTCTTTAGTGAATAGATTGTGATGTAGAAAATGAAAAATAATTATAAATATAAAAATATATTATTTTTATTATAAATATTATTTATTTCTTATCTTCAAGGCTATTTTGTTATTATTTTACAAATTCACCTTCAATCTTTTAATTTTAAGTGTTCAGGTACAGTCAAAAGCACATCAAGCTTGACACTTTGTACTTTGGACCGTTCTTACCGTAAGCGGCATTGAGTTGGATTTAAATATTAAGTGTTAAGC